CGTGTGCCACCACCGCCACACTCTTGCTATGGCTCTAATAGCTCTAACCCTGAACACACAGATATCTATGGGATTAAAGGCGTGTGCCACCACTGCCACACTCTTGCTATGGCTCTAATAGCTCTGACTCCCAGACAACTTTATTTATTAACATACAATCAAAATAATAATTCAGTACAATTAGATTACCACAACCTGCAAGAACAGCAAGTGCTCTTAGACACTGAGTCATTTATCCATTGTGGGAGGCCAGCTCCCACCTTTTCCAGGGTTCCTATGAGGAGGAGAGAGGGATACAAATATTAGATAGAAAGGTAGCAAAGAGGAGAAAGACAGAAACACAGTATAGCTTCAGGAGGACCCAATGGCCCCTTCTGCCTCTTCAAGGGGGCTTTTTATAACAATGCCAAGGGATGGGGTAAAAGACCTCCCCTTTGCTAGATCAAAGCACACCACACAGCCAAGTGTAGACCCTTCCAAACACCTGGTAACCATGCCTGTGGTAAAATCATCCCCTTATGCAGCCTTGCTGGGTAGAGCAAGTACAGATTCTCAGACCTTGAGTAAGTTCTCACTAGAAAAACCTCTGTGGGTCTCTACAATCCATCTTGGAACTTACCATTGAATCATGAGAGGCACAGCTTCCACATCAATTACTTGAAAGAAAATTTTTTGTCCTTCAGTCCTACTTTCTCCCTTCCCACAGACTGGAACTCAGACCATGTGAGTAAGGACAAGACCCTAGGGAAGGACAAACAAGAAAGACTGAAGGATCTTGGGACTTGGAATAAGTTCCCAGAGAAGAATTCTGATGGCAGCCTAAAGCACTGATCTGTTACTTGAGATATTATATCTTAAAAACACAGCAGAGTTAAAATATCTTTTAATGTAATGTGTAGGCATTTGGAGAATAATTTGCTTTTTGACATAAGCAGAGTGCTATGCCTTTGCATCCATAAGCAGCTACTTATAGGCTCCAGCATTTCATGTGTTAATTAGTGTTATTCACATCTACATTAAGAAAGTTCCCTATACTACAAAAGTAAAGTAGTTTTAATGACAGACATTCTAGCTTTTCTCACCATAGTAATTCCTTCAGTGTTAGTGCCAGTATGTCTTTCCTCAAAAGAAGCTACTAATAGTCACATATATAATTAATCTGAAAAGATTAAGAAAATATCATGGAGTCCTTTTCTTTGTTTATCCCCAAGTCTGAACTTTCAGTTAATTTTCATATGTATATATGTAAGAAGTTTTTACTGTATTAGGTTTCCATACTACCACTTCAAATGGCTTTTAGTTTTAGCTGTCCCTCCCCTTATTCCCTCTCTTGCTTCCTCTACCCCACTCCTTGCTTGATCCTCCCATTCCAGTATCCCCCTCATCTATTCATTACTATCCTATTTCCCCTCCCTAGGGAGATCTATCTACCACCCCTAGTTCCTTAATCTATACCTAACCTCTGCAGTTCTACCAATTGTAGCTTGCTTACAGCTAATATATAACAGCTAATATCCACATATAAGCTGATATATACCATATTTGTTTTTCTGGGTCTAGGGTACCTCACTCAGGGTGATTTTTTTTTTTAGTTCTATCCATTTACTTGAGAACTTCATTTTTTTAATGGCTGAGTAATATTCTATTGTGTAAATGTACCACATTTTCTTTATCCAGTCATCTGTTGACAGACATTTAGATTATTTCCAATTTCTGGCTATTATGAATAGAGCAGTAATGAGCATGATTGATCGAGTATCTCTAGTAGAATCAAGCATCCTTTGGGTATGCCAAGAGTAGTACAGCTGGATCTTGAGGTAGATCGATTCCCATCTTTCTGAGGAACTGCCACATTGATTTCCATAGAGGCTGTACAAATTTGCATTCCCACCAGCAATGGATGAGTGTTCCCCTTATCCACATCCTCACCAGTAGAAGTTGATCATAGACATTCTGACAGATTTAAGAGGAAATCTCAAAGTAGTTTTGCTTTGTATTACCCTGCTGACTAGGGATGTTAAACATTTCTTTGAGTGCTTCTCAGCCATTTGAGTTTCCTCTTTTGAGAATTCTCTGTTTAGATTTGTATCCCATTTTTTAATTTGGTTATTTATTTTGATATGTAGGTTTTTTGTTTGTTTGTTTGTTTTAGTTTTTATATATTTTGGATATTAGCCCTCTATAGGGCGTGTAGTTGGTAAGAATCTTTTCCCATCCTGTAGGCTACAACTTTGTCCAAATGATGATTTGCTTTGGATATAAAGCTCTTCAGTTTCATGAGGTCCCATTTGTTGTTGATCTTACTGCCTGTGCTATTGGTGTTCTCTTCAGAAAGTTTTTCTTGTGCTAATGAGTTCAAGACTATTCCTTACTTTCTTTTCTATCAGGTTCAGTGATCTAGTTTTATGTTGAGGTCTTTGATCCATTTGGAACTGGGTTTTGTGCAGGGTGGTAAGTATGGATCTATTTGGATTCTTGTACATGCAGCCATCCAGTTTAACTAGCACCATTTGTTGGAGGTACTGTCTTTTTTTTCAGTGTGTATTTATAGATTCTTTATAAAAAAAAAAATCAGGTGTCCATAGATGTGTGGATTTATGTCTGGGTCTTCAATATATTCCATTGATCAGCATGTCTGTTTTTCTTTCTATAGCTCTGTAATACAAACTGATGTCAGGGATGGTGATATCTGCAGTGGTTTTTTTTTTTTGTTGTTGTTTTTGTTTTTGTTTTTCGAGACAGGGTTTCTCTGTGTAGCTTTGCGCCTTTCCTGGAACTCACGTGGTAGCCCAGGCTGGCCTCGAACTCACGGAGATTCGCCTGCCTCTGCCTCCCGAGTGCTGGGATTAAAGGCGTGCGCCACCACCGCCCGGCCTGCAGTGTTTTTTATTACTGTTGTTGTTGCTGTTATTTGGGAGGGTTTTAGCTTCCTTTGTTTTTGTGTTTACATATGGAGCTGAAAATTGTCCTGTCAAGTTCTGTGAAGAATTGATTGGAATTTTGATGAGGATTGCCTTGAATCTGTAGATTGCTTTTGATAGGATGTCCATTTTTACTGTATTCCTACCTATCCATGAACATGGCAGATCTTTCCATCTTCTGATAGCTTCTTTAATTTCTTTCTCCAGTGTCTTAAAGTTTCTATCATACAAGTCTTTTACTTGCTTTGTTAGAATTAGCACAAGATACTTTTTTTTTTGAGGCTCTTGTAAAGGATATTGTTTCCCTGATACCTTTCTCAGTCCCATTTGTATATAGGAAGGCTACTGGTTTTTGTGTTAATTTTGTATTCTGCTACTTTGCTGAAAATGTTTATTAACTGTAGGAGTTTCCTGGTAGGATTTTTTAGGGTCACTTATATATACTATCCTATCATCTGTAAATAAAGATATTTTGATTTTTTTCCCTTTCTATTTGTATCCCTTTCAGTTGTTTTATTGCTTCAGCTAAGACTTCAAGTACTATATTGAAATGGTATGGAGAGAGTGGACAACCTTATCTTGTTCTTGATTTTAATGGACTTATGTTGTAGAATATTATTTTAAAGTGTGTTACTTCTCTTTGTGTTGCATTTGTTTAACTCTGTGAAGCTGTGTTACTTTGCCTATCTAAACACCTGATGGTGTTCTTTATTAGAAATAAAGAACTGAATGGCCAATATTAAGGCAGGAGAAAGGATACCCGAGGCTGGCAGGCAGAGAGAATATATAGGAGAAATATGGGAGGAAAAAAGAAGTAACCAGAGGAGGAGGACTCCAGGGGCCAGCCACTCAGCTACACAGCAAACCACTAAGTAATGGTAAGATTTACAGAAGTAAGAGAATGGGAAATGCCCAGAGGCAAAAGATAGACAGGGATAATTTAAAGTTAAGAAAAGCTGGCTATAAACAAGCCAAGCTAAGCCAGGCATTTATAAGCAATAATGAGGCTCTGTGTGATTTATTTGGGAGCTAGGTGGCAGGCCCTCCAAGAGTAAAAAACAACCAACAATAGAATTGCTTTGAGTTGCTCTCTATTTAAGTTGATGTTGGCTATGGATTTGCCATAAACTGTCTTTATTTTGTTAAATATGTCCCTTGTATCCCTAATCTCTCCAGGACTTTTATCATAAAGGGGTGTTGGATTTTGTCAAAAGCCTTTCTGCATCTACTGAGTTGATCATGTAGTTTTTCTCTTTCAGTTTGCTTATATGGTAGATTACGTTTCTCTGTTTACATGTATTGAACCATCCTTACATCACTAGGATTAAGCCTCCTTGATCATGGTGGATGATCTTTTTGATATGTTCTTGGATTTGGTTTGCAAGTATTTTATTTCATTTATATTCATAAGGAAAGTTGGTATGTTATACTCTTATTGATGGGTCTTTATGTGATTTAGGCTTCAGGGTAACTGTGGCCTCATAAAACAAATTGGGAAATGTCCCTATAATTTGAGGAATATTGAGTTAATTCTTCTTTGAAAGTCTGGTATTATTCTGTGCTAAAACCATCGTGTCCTGTTTGTTTGTTTGTTTGTTTGTTTTTTTGTAGATTGTTTGTTTATTTTTAGAGACAGGGTTTCTCTGGTAGCTTTGGAGCCTGTCCTTGGAACTCATTCTGTAGACCAGGCTGGCCTCAAATTCACAGAGATCTGTGGTTGTATTGTTCCCCAAAATATTGTGCACCCTAATAAACTTATCTGGGGTCAGAGAACAGAACAGCCACTAGATACAGAGGCTAGAAAATGGTGGCACTCACACCCTTAATCCTAGCATTCCAGAGGCAGAAAACCCTCTGGATCTCTGTGAGTTCAAGGCCACATTGGAAACAGCCAAGCATGGTAACACACGCTTTTAATCCCAGGAAGTGATGGCAGAAAGCCAAAAGGTATTTAAGGCGTGAGGACCAGGAACTAGAGCTGGTAAATCTTTTAGGCTTTTGAGCAGCACAGTTCAGCTGAGAGGCATCCAGTCTGAGGAAACAGGATCAGCTGAGGAATTGGCGAGTTGAGGTAGCTGTGGCTTGTTCTGCTTCTCTGATCTTCCAGCATTCACCTGAATACGTGGCTCCAGGTTTGTTTTTATTAATAAGACCTTCTAAGATTCATGCTACAGAGATCCACCTGCCTCTGCCTCCCGTGCACTGGGATTAAAGGTGTGTGCCATCACCACCAGGCATGATTCATAGATTTTTAATGACTGCTTCTATTTCACTAGGGGTTATAGGCCTGTTTAAATTGCTTGTCTGCTCTTGTTTTAACTTTGGTTGGTGGCATATATCGAGAAAAATAGTCTTTTTTTTTTTTTAAGATTTCCAATTTGCTGGAGTACAGGTTTTTAAAGTATGTCCTTATGATTATCTGTATTTCCTTAGTTTCTGTTGTTAGGTCCCACTTTTCATATCTAATTTTGATAATTTGGATCTTTATCTTTGCCTTTTAGTTATTTCAGCTAAGGATTTATCAATCTTATTGATTTTCTTAAAGAACCAACTCTTTGTTTCAATGATTCTTTGTATTTTTGTTATTGTTGTTGTACTGATTTAAGCCCTGAGTTTGATTATTTCTTGCCATCTACTCCTTTGGGGTGTTATTTCTTCTTTTTGCTCTAGAGGCTTCAGATGTACTGTTAAATTACTAGTATGAGATCTCTCCAATTTTTTAATTTAGGCATTTAGTGCTATGAACTCTTAGAACTGCCACACTGTGTTTCATAAGTTTGGGTATGTTGTGTTTTCATTTTCATTCAGTTATAGAAAATCTTTAATTTCTTTCTTAGTTTTTTGTCTTGACCCATTTTTCATTTAGTAGTGAGTTGTTCAGTTTCTATTAGTTTGTAAACTTTCTATTGTTGATATCCAGCTTTTATTCATGATAGTCAAATAGGATGTAATTTCTTGTATCTGTTGAGACATGCTATATGTTTGAGTATGTGGTCATTTTTGGAGAAAGTTCCATGAGCTGCTGAGGACAGGGTACATTCTTCTGCGTTTGGGTGAAATGCCTGACAGAAACAACCTAAGTGAAGAGTTTGTTTTGACCCATGGTTTCAGAGAGTTCAGTCTATGGTTGGTTCCATGTGTTTGGACCCAGCATCATGGTGATGGGAGTGGGAAGCAAAGAAGAGCTGTTTCCCTCATAGTAAACAGAAATGGCTAGGGATGAAACAACTGTCAGTTGGGGAATCTAGAGTTATTAGTCAATTCATTCACTTATTCATTCAGTAAAATTTGATTTATTAAGTGCCAAGCAATTTATA